GAGGACCCAGGTTGTTGGGGGCAAGAGGCTGACTCTGAAAACTGCTTAGAGAGGCCTGCAAAGCTCTATGAAGTGGTATATAAGTCTAGATCAGTGGTGGGATTCAAAAAAATTTACTACCGGTTCTGTGGGTGTGGCTTTTTCAGACCAACTGCTCAGTTGGAACAGGAAGGTGAGGACAGATGAGGATATTATGTATCAGCCATCAGCTGATTTCTCTTTAGTTGGCTAGAGTAGGATTTCTCAACCCTTAAGAGAAGTGGACTTCAGCTCCCAGAAATTATGATATTGATGACTCTATTTCCTCCCAAAGAAATGTTCCCAAAGAAGTCTGTAGAGTTTTTCAGCCCTCCAGGTCATGGTTGTCCCTAAGGTGCTTTTTCAGGAGGCAATTGGATTTTCTTGTTTTTTTTTCTTTTGAAGACGTTTTGCTTCTCATCTAAGAAGCTTCTTCAGCTCTGACAGAATGGTGGGGGAATGGAAGGATTTATCCTCCTTGCAGACAGCTGGTCATTTGCATCCTTTTAGAGGGCCGTTGAGGCCACTTGGAGGTTTATCTGTGTCCTCAGGGTCACCTGAGTGGTGCTCCTGGTCCTGTAGTATGCAATTTCTCTCTCTCTGGAAATCCATTCCTACTTCCACACCATTCAAAGGGCGTTCATCCCAAATTGTATAGCTAAAAGTTTGTAGAGATTCTCAGTCAACCAGGCCATGGTTGTCCCAAAGGTGCTTTTTCAGGAGGCCACTGGACTTCCTTGTTTTTTCCTTTTGAAGACATTTTACTTCTCACCCAAGAAGCTTCTTCAGCTCTGACAAAATAGTGACTAGTCCTTGCCTTCCCAACTATCCTGTCAGAGCTGAAGAAGCTTCTTCAAAGAAAGAAAGAAACCAGAAAGTCCAGTTGCCTCCTGAAAAAGCACTTTTCGGACTTCAAGGACAGACAAACTTTTATTTACTTCAGATGAGTCATGTCTTTTTTAAAAGCAAGTTTGGAAACTTTTTTTCAGTTGAATGCTCCCCTACAACCTATGTTTTTCTGGGGGGCAAGGGGGAGAGAAACCACTAAAAATTTAAGAGATGAAAAAATGCAGGGAGGGTCAAGAGAGATTCAACTAGGTAACTAGGTTCTCTTTTAGTACAGAAAGTGGGACTGAACATTTTGTTCAAATCCAGAGGGTTTTTCTTTTACGTTAGAGCCAGAGGTGGTATTCAGCCGGTTTGGAGTGGTTCTGGCCTACCGGTAGAAGAAATTTTGAGTAGTTTGGAGAACCGGAAAATATCACCTCTGGCTCCCCCCCCCCCGCCACTATTTCCTGTCCTATATTCCCTTGCTTTTATCTCAGCTGATTCGTGCGTTAGAGCGGATTGCCGTGCCTCAGCTGAGGTAAAAAACAGCTCACCTCACCGGCGCTGACAGAGCGAGGTTTTTGATTGCTGCGTGCGTGAGTGTGCAAAGTGCTGTCTCTCATAGAACTGGTAGGAAAAAAAAAATTGGAATCCCACCGCTGGTTAGAGTGGTTGGGTTAGTTTGGGGAAATCTTCTTTTGCCAAACCGAAGCATTAACACCAAAGTTAAGGCTTTCTGAGTTGGATTGTAATATTTTTTTGAGTCTGAGTGTCACTGCCATTGAGTAACGCATAGATTTACAATGCCAACATTCTGAGTGTCAACCTTTGTAGTTTCAGAAGGACATAAAAGTGCACAGATCCTATTTTAAAAAACAAAATGCTAGATTTAGCACGTGGGAGCAACCTAATTCCAGATTATCAAGCCCAAATTGAAAGGTCTTCCCACTTCCTCCCCGCCTCCCAAGCCGGGGATTTGCCCTTTGCTAAATCTTCCTTTGCTGCTGGTTCTAGCTATATTTTTAGATAGATGGGACTCGAGTTTCTTCTCCTGCTGCTGTGGATAGTGCAGAGACCCCAGAGGAATTTATTCCCAGTCGATCCAACGAAACAGGAATGCTCCAGAGGTGGAGGGTTCAGGTGTCCTTGTTCCTCAACTTTGGGAAATAAAATTTGCCTTGCAAGGAAAAATGAGATGGGAAGGAAACCAGGTATCATGGAATATTTCAGGCTTTGCTGGGATGGCCAGGGATAACACTGTGATGACCTGAGACAAAGGCACAGTCAGCTGAGAGTTCAACTTCCCCTTTAATGCTCCACCTCATCCTACACTGAAGCCAGCCACCTTCAGTCCCCAAAAGCCAGTAAACAAAGAAAGTCCAAAGAGAAGGTGCAAGCTCCAGAGTCCGGGTATAAAGGCCAAAGGCAAGTCCACAAGGCCAAAGGCAAGAGCATGAATCAAACCCCAGGGGAGTGTAATCCAGAGCACACAATTGTTCCTGGCAAAGACTAAACTCCCCACGGCTTCTTCTTAAGTCACTCTGCTCCAGGTGTTCCTTGTGAGGAGGGGTGGGGGAGGTGACCTACTCTTGAGTCACCTCACAGCCCTTCTCTGGGCTTGCCTAAGCTCTGCTTTCCATGCCCTTGGATTGAGTGGAGGAGGCAGCTGTTCCTCATCAGAGGGGATCTACTGCCTATCAGTCCTGCTGCCTGTCAGCAGCCGATCCTCCCCTGTCTCTGTGTCGGTCAACCACCTTCCCCAATGCCTGAGGGCCTGGGACAACATCATCCTCAGACTCTGGCTTCTCCAAAGATGCCAAGGTGGTGTGTCATCCCTGTTAGACCATCCTGGTTCCAACTCCTCCTCCTCCTCCTGACTGGGCTCCAATGGGACCACAACACTGTGATTTCTGTTCAGACAGATCAGCAGTGGAATCCTACCTGTTCCACTACCAGTTTGGTGATCACGCACACACCTAACGCACGTGTAGCTTTCCCTACACCAGCTGAGACCTGCAGTACCAATCAGCTAAGAGAATAAAGAAGAGAAAAGTACAGGGGAAAGTTGGAAGGCCGATCCTGATTGTCAGATGCTGTGTTTTTTTTTTTACTACCAGCTCGGCTGAACCAGTCCAAATCGGTAGCATACCACCATTGAGACAGATGCAACAAGTACAACACACAACCTCACGAGGTTTACAACATAACACCAATACTTACTGCAACACCAGCAGTCCCAAAAGGGCCCGGAAGAGTTAAAAAGATGTGCAGTCTTACAATTAATATCCTTGAAGTCGCAGGTTCAATTTCTGTTTGTTTGCTTTAATTTATTGCCTTGGAAGCATGCATATTTGCACAGAAAGGAGCTCAAATATTAAAAATTAATTATCTGCTTATGCATGACCTCCTATCATCATTCCTGCACATTCAAGGTAGCTTTTAAAAACATAAATTTCTTGTCTATCAATCATTTCTGTCTCCAGGAGAACTCTGAAAACAGCAATTCATTTCTCAGGAACTTGGTGCTGAATAATTCAGTTTTTGCTGGCCTTGTTTACTCTTGTAAAGAGGTTTCTTTGCTGTATTATATATTACCTTCACTCTGACTCCTGCCCAGTCCTGGACTGGCAGCTGACCTCAAAGCCAATTCTTCCAGGAATAATAATAATCTGTTCACCAACAATGTGAAGACACAGCTGCCGGTTTTTTAAGCTGCTTTTGGCCTTCACATGCTTTGAATTATTCCCAGGAACCTAAGCGGTTGCAAGTATCAGCATAATATAGATGCAGAACTTTTGCAATTAACAGGAAGAAATTTGTCAATGTGCAGATTTTCTAAATGCCGTCCTAGGTGCCTATAATCACTGCCATAATCTTTCAATTTCAGTGTTCAGATCTTGATACGTTGTGTTCTTCTCCAACTCTTTGTCTTCTATTCTACACTGCTCAAAAAAATAAACGGAAAACAAAAATAAGACATCCTAGATCTGAATGAATGAAATATTCTTATTAAATACTTTGTTCATTACATAGTTGAATGTGCTGACAACAAAATCACACAAAAATTATCAATGGAAATCAAATTTAGCAACCCATGGAGGTCTGGATTTGGAGTTACACTCAAAATTAAAGTGAAAAAAAAAACACTACAGGCTGATCCAACTTTGATGTAATGTCCTTAAAACAAGTCAAAATGAGGCTCAGTAGTGTGTGTGGCCTCCACGTGCCTGTATGACCTCCCTACAATGCCTGGGCATGCTCCTGATGAAATGGCAGATGGTCTCCTGAAGGATCTACTCCCACACCTGGACTAAAGCATCCCCCAACTCCTGGACAGTCTGTGGTGCAACGTGGCGTTGGTGGATGTAGCGAGACATGATGTCCCAGATGTGCTCAATTGGATTCAGATCTGGGGAATGGGCGGGCCAGTCCATAGCATCAATGCCTTCGTCTTGCAGGAACTGCTGACACACTCCAGCCACATGAGGTCTAGCATTGTCTTGCATTAGGAGGAACCCAGGGCCAACCGTACCAGCATATGGTCTCACAAGGGGTCTGAGGATCTCATCTCGGGACCTAATGGCAGTCAGGCTACCTCTGGTGAGCACATGGAGGGCTGTGCAGCCCCCTAAAGAAATGCCACCCCACACCATTACTGACCCACTGCCAAACCGGTCATGCTGGAGGATGTTGCAGGCAGCAGAACGTTCTCCATGGCATCTCCAGACCCTGTCACGTCTGTCACATGTGCTCAGTGTGAACCTGCTTTCATCTGTGAAGAGCACAGGGTGCCAGTGGCAAATTTGCCAACCTTGGTGTTCTCTGGCAAATGCCAAACATCCTGCATGGTGTTGGGCTGTAAGCATAACCCCCACCTGTGGACATCGGGCCCTCATACCACCCTCATGGAGTCTGTTTCTGACCGTTTGAGCAGCCACATGCAAATTTGTGGCCCGCTGAAGGTCATTTTGCAGGGCTCTGGCAGTGCTCCTCCTGTCCCTCCTTGCACAAAGGCAGAGGTAGCAGTCCTGATGCTGGGTTGTTGCCCTCCTACAGCCTCCTCCACGTCTCCTGATATACTGGCCTGTCTCCTGGTAGCGCCTCCATGCTCTGGACACTACGCTGACAGACACAGCAAACCTTCTTGCCACAGCTCACATTGATGTGCCATCCTGGATGAGCTGCACTACCTGAGCCACTTGTGTGGGTTGTAGACTCCGTCTCATGCTACCATTAGAGTGAAAGCACCGCCAGCATACAAAAGTGACCAAACCATCAGCCAGAAAGCATAGGAACTGAGAAGTGGTCTGTGGTCACCACCTGCAGAACCACTCCTTTATTGGGGGTGTCTTGCTAACTGCCTATGCTTTCTACCTGTTGTCTATTCCATTTGCACAACAGCATGTGAAATTGATTGTCAATCAGTGTTGCTACCTAAGTGGACAGTTTGATTTCACAGAAGTGTGATTGACTTGGAGTTACATTGTGTTGTTTAAGGGTGCCCTTTATTTTTTTGAGCAGTGTACTATCATCTGGTATTTCACAGAAGTGTGATTGACTTGGAGTTACATTGTGTTGTTTAAGTGTTCCCTTTATTTTTTTGAGCAGTGTACTATCATCTGGTATTGCCACATAAATTATCCACTCTTTCTTCCTTTCAACCACAGTTAATTGTGGCCAAGACTTTATGTATTAGGAAATCCCACAATATTTTAACCAGGTCATTTTGAACTACTCGTTCCACTATATGCTCCCACCAATTTTTCATTTACTGGTCCACGATCATTTTTACCGAAATCCCAGTTGAATCGTTTGGTGACTGTGTTATATTGGTGTTTGTAATCAGTTTCTGCATTCATTCAATGTTATTGCAAGAGCTGAGTCTATCATCTACTATTTCCTCTGCTTCTTTGCAAGATCTTCACTTTGAATCATTTGATGGTTTTTCAATCATGGTCTTAATTGCATAGCTTGCTCTTGTGCAGCCAAAATCAATCCTTCACCTTTTAAAAATGTTCCAATAGTACGCTATTGTCAGGTCTTTATCCCCTTTCCCCTCAATTGTTTGTAGAAATTGGTCAAATTGTGGTGCCTTTGCTTATCAGCATGATCCAGAACAAAACATAATAAGAGAGTTGGAAGGGATCTTGGAGGTCTTCTAGTCCAGCCCCCTGCTCAAGCAGGAAGCCCTCTATCATTTCAGACAAATGGTTGTCCAATGTCTTCTTAAAAACTTCCAGTGTTGGAGCATCCATGATTTCTGGAGGCAAGGCGTCCCACTAATTGTTCCACTAACATTGTTTGTGCTTTTATTACATTATTTCAGTATTCACTTTTTGTTTCCTCTATATTTAGTAAGTTCTGATTACTAGCTTGCGTTCATTTGTTCTACATCTGCAAAACAGAACCAGTTAACCAGTAAATGATAGCAATGTTGGGGACCACTTTTAAATTATTTAAAGTCTTGTTACACTGGACCTTGCCTTACATGGTAGGTTATAAAGTTAGTCTACAGAGCTCTAAGGCCTATATTTATTCGTAAAAAATTGGACAGAAGATAATTTTTCTAATGTATCTTATACTAGCTGTTGTTAACACTAAGGAGGTTTGCAGGCCATTGCTGAAATAACGTAGCATCTTCCAGCCAGCCTTGGGTCAAAAGTAACAGTATAATTTTTCTTGAATTATTCTATTGAAAGTTGAACTCAGCCTTCCATCCTTCTGAGGTGGGTAAAATGAGAGTCCAGATTGTTGGGGGCAAGAGGCTGGCTCTGTAAACTACTTAGAGAGGTAAAGCACTGAGAAGCAGTATATAAGTACTATTGCTTGGGAAGGAAGGAAGGAAGGAAGGAAGGAAGGAAGGAAGGAAGGAAGCTGTACAGTGGTTAATATAGTATTGCAGGCCGACTGCCCACAGCCAGGAGTTCAATTCTCACCAGCTCAAGGTTGACTCATCCTTCCAAGGCCATGAAAATGAGGACCCAGATTGTTGGGGGGCAAGAGGCTGACTCTGTAAACCGCTTCGTGGGCTGTAACGCACTGTGAAGCAGTATATAAGTCCATGTGCTATTGCTATTTCTATTACTTCAAGAATTGCTTGGTGTTGCTGTGAAAAGGTGATCAGTCATTAGTAGGGAAATATGCACAGCATGGGAACTATAAAAGATAGACTTTCTGGGAGCACCGTAGAAACTGCCTTAGGAGAAGGAGTAACAGGGAAGAGCAACAAAGATGGTTAGGGGACTGGAAGCTAGAATATATAGAGAACGCTGGAATTGGGTATGTCTAGTTCCGTGATGGTGAACCTATGGCACGCGTGCCACAGGTGGCGCACAGAGCCATTTGTGCCAGCATGCAAGCTGCGGGGCAAACTTACCTCACTGCGCATGCGTGCACCTCATGGCTGATTTTCAGCCGGTTTGAGGCCTTTTTTTTGGCCTCACAGAGGCTTGAGGAAGGCTTCTGCAGGCCAAATACTAGGCCCATTTCGTCCCTTCCTGTTTTTCCAAAAATAGTGGAAATGATGAGACAGGTCTAGTTTTTGGCCTGCAAAGCCTGCAGAAGCCTTCCTGAAGCCTCTGGGAGGCCAAAAAAGGCCTCAAACCAGCTGTGAGGCGCAGTGCAGGTAAGGGGGAGGCAGTGGCAGGTGGGCAGGGATTGTGCGCGCATGCGTAGGGGGTGTGGGCGGGCATGTATTGCCTTCTGGGTGCCTTGCACGCAAGCAAGAGCGTGCAAGCACACGCACAATTTTTGGCACAGGAGCCCCAAAAGGTTAGCCACCACTGGTCTAGTTCAATGAAAAGTAGGACTAGGGGTGACATGATAACAATGTTCCAATATCTAAGGGGCTGCCACAAAGAAGAGGGAGTCAAGCTATTCTCCAAAGCACCTGAGGGCAGGACAAGAAGCAATGGGTGGAAACTAATCAAGGAGAGAAGCGACTTAGAACTAAGGAGGAATTTCCTGACAGTTAGAACTATTAATCAGTGGAACAATTTGCCTCCAGAAGTTGTGAATCCTCCAACACTGGAAGTTTTTAAAAAGATGTTGGAGAACCATTTGTCTGAAGTGGTGTAGGGTTTCCTGCCTCGGCAGGGGTTTGGGACTAGAAGCCTGCAAACTAGATCCCTTCCAAGTCTATTATTCTGTTAGGGAAATTAAATAAATTCAATATACAGGATATCTACCCAAGACCAGAAGGAAAAAGAGAAGTTGAAGTACAGATGAGAAGACGTGTAGAAGTAAGAAGAAATGGAGGAGAATGAGAAACTGCTGAAGCATTTTCATTCTGTCCTCTGCTATGAATGAGAGCTACGTCAGCTGAATGCGCATATCAGTGAGTCTTAAGCCTTGAATGGATGACTAACATTACTAGGTGACAGAACTATTCCAATAACTCTCCAGATGTCATCATTATTTATTAGCACAGAACAGATGACTTTGACTGAGGTGACCACGTTAAAAAAAAAAGGATTGTGACACAGATTTATAACATGTTCCACAATTCTAGGAATACCTTGTATTGCCTCTTTGTATGAGTATATCTGTCAGTGTTCCAACTAACAAACTCCAAACCAGACAAGCATTTTCTCAAAGTTTCATTTTGTTTATTAGAGTTGTCATATTGGTTGCGGTGGCTCAGTGGCTGAGACACTGAGCTTGTCGATCAGAAAGGTCGGCAAGTCAGCGGTTCGAATCCCTAGCGCTGCATAACGGAGTGAGCGCCCGTTCCTTGTCCCAGCTTCTGCCAACCTAGCAGTTCGAAAGCATATAAAAAAAATGCAACAGCATTCTGTGCGCCTTTGGCATTTAGTCATGCCGGCCACATGAACATGGAGACATCTTTGGACAGTGCTGGCTCTTTGGCTCTGTAACGGAGATGAGCACCGCTCCCTAGAGCTGGAAACGACTAGCACGTATGTGCGAAGGGAAACTTTACCTATTGGCGCTTCTGGGAAAACCCAAATTTGAGAGTTCCATGTTTCCCCTTCCCAATTGAAAACCAAAGATCCATCCCATGCACCCACCAGACCATCACGTGGTCCAATCAAACATCGTCCCAATTAGAGACCTTCCTCCAGACACTCCCATCCGGGTGCAGGGTAACATGTCCTTGACTTTCTGAGAAAGAATGTTGTTGAGTCTAATCTTCCACCTCTCCACAAAATCCCCCTTCCCAAATTCCCAGGCACAAAATGTGACAGCCTCGAAGCTTCCAAGTAAAACACGGCTTCCAATATCATAATGTTGTTGTTGGGGAGCGATTGGAGAGGCCGGGACCCAGGGACCTGGTGACATTGATTAACGAGGAAAATTTGCTCTCTGTTGGTATTCCAGCGATTGCCTTAATTAAATCATGAGCCTCGAGCCAAACTAAAAAACTTCAAAGGATTTATTAGGAGCGACATGCTGGCATGACCCGTATGAAGCCAACTCTGAGATACGTAATTTACAATCACCTATGACCCTGTTTCCCGCCCACCCCTCTGAGTGTATCATAATTCAGATTGTCCAATGGAACACGTTCATGGGCTGGTTGTCATAAATCATGTTCTCCAATGGAGGATTTTTGAGCCCAGTATATCCGGTTGCCTCAGTTACAAACTTTGCGAGATAAGCTTGAAATGTGCTTCTGAGCTCATCTGCCATATGCTCCTTCAGGGTCCCCCCCCTTTCTTATGGCAACTTGGAAACCGGCATAGGAATGTTTTACAAGTTGACAGTTGTGGCTTTCTTTTTTTGCAGGGAAAGTATTGGTGCACTGTGCCATGGGGATAAGCCGCTCAGCAACCCTGGTGCTGGCTTTCTTGATGATCTACGAAAACAAGAACCTCGTGGAGGCTTTAAAGATGGTGCGAGAACATAGAGGGGTCTGCCCAAACACGGGTTTCCTCAGCCAACTTCGGGAGCTCGACCTCTGGTTAATGAGCGAAAAAGGGAAAGCAAAGGGGGTCCCTTGAAACTTTAGATATAAAATACTTGGATGGTGGCAAGTCTAAGAGGAACAGTTGCATTCCCCTCAGAAATACCTAAATACCTAAACATCATTGCTGTGACGTTTACAGGCAATGTCATGAAAACTCTCTTGTTGGCGATCTCGTTCAAGATTAAAGGTGTGCTGGAAATTTGGTATCTGTTCCATGTTTGATAATGGAATCCCCAGGAATTTATGGCTGGAAGGTGTCGTTGGAAGCACAGAATCTAACTTCCCATTCTCTAAAGGAACTCAAACCCTGCCCATCCTATGCTTGAATTGTTCAGGGAAGGATCCAGTGATTCCCAAGTGAAACTCTGGAAAGAATTTGACCTGAGATATAGAAAGCAAGATAACACTAGATTGGCTTGTTCCAAACCTGGTGACAATTCCCTAACGATTCTGGCAAGCTGGGTTTTTTTTTTTTTTTTTTTTAGAAACTTCATATATCAAGGATTCTTTAGATAAAAACCCCTGGGCAACTGCTGGGAGAAATGGATTTGTTTTGTTTGGTCTTCAGATGGGTGAATCCAGACACAGGAAGGAGTAATGATTTCTTAGTCCAACGAACTGCCCAAAAAACCATATTTAGAGGTGATGCTGCATCTGTTCACCTTTCTTTTCTCCCACAAAGCTATCAGCAGCATAGAAAACTAAAGGTAAAGGTTCCCCTCTCATATCCGTGCTAGTCGTTTCCGGCTCTAGGGGGTGGTGTTCATCTCTGTTACAAAGCCGAAGAGCCAGCGCTGTCCGAAGACGTCTCCATGGTCGTGCGTCCAGCATGACTAAACGCCGAAGGTGCATGGAACGCTGTTCCCTTCCCACCAAAGGGGTCCCTATTTTTCTACTTGCCTTTTTTACGTGCTTTCGAACTGCTAGGTTGGCAGAAGCTGGGACGAGGAATGGGAACTCACTCTGTTACGTGGCGCTGGGGATTTGAACCGCCGAACTGCCAATCTTTCTGATCGACAACCTCAGCGTCTTAGCCACCGAGCCACCGCATCCCTTAGACGAGCTACCTTGGAGGACTAGCTAGTCATTTATTTTTACCCTTCTTCCAAGAAGAGAAGGGTGGCATAATTTCTCGTCCTTGTTATCTTCCTACTGTACCTGCAAAGCAGACAGATGTAGCTGTCTCAGGCAGTGTTCCTCAACTTTGAAGACTTTTGAGGTGTGTGGACTTCAACTCCCAGAATTACCCAGCAGGGCATGTCTAGGGACATTTACATGTACATTTTACATTTTACATTTTATTTGATTTGTCATTCGCTTACAAGGTACAGGTGTAAGAATAAATATAGTTTTGAATGCATGAGATAGATACTTATAAGAAAAATAAAAAAAGCAATAGGACAGGGACGGTAGGCACGATTGGTGCACTTATGCACGCCCCCTACAGGCCTCTTAGGAAGGGGGTGAGGTCAATGGTAGACAATCTAAGGTTAAAGTTTTTGGGCATGACCAATCAGATTTTGGGATAGCTAGTGGGGCACCCTAATTACCATATAGAAGAGGAAAAGAGGCTAGGAAAAAGGGAGCTAATTGTTATCCTGGTGTCTCTTTTCCCAAGCTCTTCTGGATCTGCCTATTTTGGAGCATAAACAGAGGGATAGAATCAAGATCACATGAAGTGTTAATACCAGAGGTGGGTATTCAGCAGGTTCTGACCAGTTCTGGAGAACTAGTAGCAGAAGTTTTGAGTAGTTCGGAGAATTGGCCAATCCCACCCAAGAACCAGTAGTAAAAAAAATTTGAATCCCACCACTGGTTAATACCACTCTATCATGCTTTGTTAAGGCCATACCTGGAATACTGCATCCCGTTTTGGTCACTACGATGTAAAAAAGACGTTGAGACTCTAGAAAGAGTGCAGAGAAAAGCAACAAAGATGATTAGGGGACTGGAGGCTAAAACATACAAAGAACGGTTGTAGGAACTGGATATGTCTAGTCTAATGAAAAGAAGAACTAGGAGAACTGGGAAATAGGGGAGACATGATAGTGTTCCAATATCTCAGGGGCTGCCACAAAGAAAAAGGAGTCAAGCTATTCTCCAAAGCACCTGAAGGAAGGACAAGAAGCAATGGGTGGAAACTAATCAAGGAGAGAAGCAACTTAGAACTAAGGAGAGCTTTCCTGACATTAACCAGTGGAACAACTTGCCTCCAGAAGCTGTAAATGCTTCAACACTGGAAGTTTTTAAAAAGATGTTTGATAACCATTTGTCTGAAGTGGTGTAGGGTTTCCTGCCTCGGCAGGGGGTTGGACTAGAAGACCTCCAAGGTCCCTTCCAACTATTCTATTCTATTCT